CTGTCAGTACTTTCCAACATCATTGGATATCTAGTATATAAATGAGCTAGTGATTTTTTTAATACGCAAATTTTCACTGAGTTCTAATCCCAAAACAGTTTAAGCGTCTTAATTGCTTTTCTGACATGAAAACAACAGTTTCGAATCATTCTCTTCTTATTATATACACTTTTAGTTGATACTACTTGTAATATACTAATTGCAATTGACCAAAATCTTTAAATACACAGTGCTTTTGAAAGTATGGAAGAAATGGCAGGACGTTGTCAACATTTTATTTCACAAAGAAAGAATTCGACCTGTAGTATGAAAAGTAATTTAAAATAAATGGAACAAACTGGATTAAAACGAAGTGATTCATTCTAATGTTAGTTTTTTCGGCATGAATTGGACTAAGTTTACTGTGAAGGATAAAAAATAAACGCAGCGAAATATTTTGTCAATAAAATGCTTCATTCATTCTACCCATACTATTAACACATTTGTTGCTTTTTAAATTTTTTTTCATCTTTCTTGCTTATTTTTTATTAAGAAATCACAGAAATTTAAAGCCTGAAAATGATATTAATAAATTATTTTCAATTTTCAAAGCATCACATTAGGATTTTCGTAAGATTTCAACAATTGTTTAATGAAAATTGTTGGGTCAAGAAGATTGTTTGTTATGTGAAGTTCTAAACCTCCCATCAATAAATGAAATTGGCGGCTTTTTCGAATGATTATTTAACTTTTTTTATATAGCTATTAAGCCAACTTACACACAGACACACACACACACACATACACACATACATACACTCATACACACTTTCCAGCACAGATAGAGTGCGACTTTATAGATATACTATAGGAGAAGTGTAAAGTTATGGTGCACACCACTCGATTTGCTTACATTGAGAAAGATCATGCCGGTAGCTCTGACAGTATTATTTCCATCGTACAATGTTACTTGGAATAGCTGTCATCCAGAAATGACTGTTTTTCTTCATTTCCTTATAACCATCCTTTCCTAACCACTTAGAATTGTAGGATTTATTCGAAATTGATTGATTATCATGTTATTGTGCTATGAGTGTATGGGTATGCATTATGGTAGTATCTGTGATATTCGATTTGGTGTTAATTAAGCAGTGATGTTGCAATTAAATTAAAAATTAAGCAGCTAAAGGTTGGAAGATATAACATTTTCCATGTCTAATTTTATTGGAATAGAATCTTGCAAACACTGCTTAAGTATAATACGCATATTAAATTGCGATTCTTTTGATGATAGAAAACGTCACTTAAATTTGCATTAAAATGTATTAAAGAGCTAATCTAACTATTCCTTTACCATATTCGATATAGATATGAGTCATTACAAACATCAGCTGATGTTCGTTTCTTATGTTGAATTTATTGGCAAACGGCATTTGGGTGTGAATGTAGATTATTTTTCAAAGCGTTACTATATTCAATGCTCGTCTGAACTTCCTGGATATCATCCGAGCTTTTGACTTTTTCGTCGAGCATTTTCTAAGCTCTCGTTGAAAACAAGCATTACAATTTCGAAATTCCGTGCTTGCACTTTCAAGAAAACATAAAGATTAAATGAAGTGAAAGCAAGAAACACTGCTGAGCAAGTCGGGAACATTCTCTGAGGTGTTTTAAGCATTCATTTTCATTCTTAATATTTTTTTGCAACCGAGGCTTGTTGAAATTCTCATGTAATTGAATACTGAATATTTTTTATTCATTATTTTGGATGTATTAATTTTTGACAAAAAAGTGAATGGATGATGTTTTGAATAATTTATTGCAATTTGTTATCCAGAATGCGAAGTTGTTATTACGATTTTGATTTCGATATTTTCCGAAATTCGCAGCCGGTCAGATTTTTTCCGAAATTTTCTCAGGAAACTTTTAGAATAATTCAGTGGTCAAATTTGCTTGATCGATAGCAGCAATGGCTCAGACAGAAATGGTGACGGTGCGTATGTCGCGCGGCCAAATGGGTACACCATGGGGTTTCGATATTGGACCTGAACTGGCCATCATTCACGTATAATTATCATAATTTGTCCTTAAACAGTTCTGAAAGCTACATATGATGCTTCAAAATTTTATTAAATTTTATGAACAACAATTTTCAATTTTTTTAGTGTTTTACATTATGTTCTTGTCATGAGAGATGGCTAATGAGCAAACACTGGATCAGATCGTTATACATTGCTAAAACTTGCTCTGTGCTTGAGTTCTCAACAATTCTAAAATTTATTATGTAAAAAATTCACGTCAGATCTTAAAAACTAAAAAACAATATTTTAATATGCCTAGAATTTGTTGCACAGTGATTTAAAATTTGCTCCTCATAATAAAGATTAATAAAATTAATATGATCTTAATCAAAGAATTCACAAAATTCTCGATTTTTTTCAATCTTCTACTTCCATTATAGACCTAGACCTAGCGGAATGCATATGATGGGTGGTAGTATTTTAGGCCTTTCACTAATATCAAATTCGACATATTGGCATGCGTTATGAAAAGACACGCTTTTCTAAATAACCAATCAGTTCATAATGGCATAATGATAATCTGATTAGGCTATTCGCTAACTATACAGCTTCAATGTTACTTTATTACTTTTTTGCATAATATTAGCATCAATTCTCTGCACAAAAAAAAGGTTGGACTATAATCAATTGCGTGATCTCATTTCGGCGTCATTAAAAAAGGTTTGAGAAATCTTGTGAGCCCAACTTTTTTCACAAAATTCTAATTGTGCTTAATTTTTTTAGAATTGAATGCATAAGATAAAATGCTACGAAAAAAATGCTTTGAGGAATTGATTGACTACAACTATTGTTGTGAATACAAACTGTTTACAAATACGCTTAGCATTTCCTCTTATTAAAAACAGCAAAACATAGAATATTTATTGAATTTTCCTTGCATCTCTTCCTTAGCCGTTTCAAATATCTTGATATGAACAAAAAAAAAAAGCAATAATTCTTTTTTCATTTACCGAAAATCACTCTCCTAATCAAAAATTCCACTACTTCATTTTCTGTTCCTTTTCTTTCAGTGGAATTTTATTCATGTTTATCCTACTTTCAAATGCACATCAATTTTAGAATCTTAAAGGCTACTAAATTTTGAAGTAGATCAATTTTTTTTTTGAAAGAAATAAATCTTGAAAGAAATAAATTTTGAAAGAGATAAATCGAGACTTAAAAACTTACTGTCAAGTTTTTTCAAAAGATATTGCCGTGCAATTAAGTGATAAGTGCTAACTTATTCAACGTTTCAGCAGTCGAATTCTCGGATATTGTAGTGTTGATAATTTACTAAACTGTATCAAAAAACTATACAGGCACAGTTCAAAAATGTTAATAAATTTACAACTTCAACTCGATTAAATATATTTGTATTGCAATATTGAAATTTGCTCCAGGTAATCGGAGGTTCACTGGCTGACCGTGCTGGCTTATTAAATGGAGATGTTTTAGTAGAACTTGAAGGTCACCAGAATTTAAATGTCGAATTAGCAAAACAATTGTTGTCGAAAACGGAGCATAAAGTGGAATTGATTGTACATAGGTAAGTAATCAAATTAATTAGAATCAGCGAAAACATTGGCAATAATAGGGTAACGATTTTTATTGTCACATAATTTATGTTTTTATTATGATACAATACGAGGAAGGATAATAATATGCAATATTTCAACTCCAATTTTGAGAGCTGAAGATTCTTATATTGATCAGTTAAGAGAGCAGTATTAAAACGCCGAAGACTGGTTTCTAATTTTGTTTTTCAATCTCATAGCAGTCGAGATTTCAAAACTACACTCAATTTATAGAATTATGTGAATTTTGATTTGCATTTGTTATTGATTATTTATTGTTAATTTATTATTAATAAGAAGCTTGCGGAAAAATTTTAACGGCAGTTGCGGCAAAACGGTAAAATAGAGAAAATAGCTGATTTCATTTTTCTAATAGATAGAATTCATTCGCGGAAATTTTTCAAAATCTCACACATGACAAGTGTAAAAGTGAGCTGCACATGCACTGTCCTAATTTTGAAAAATTTTCGCTCAGCTCAACTGGGGAGCATCTTCGTCCCATTCGAACATTCCAATTTAACCCACAGTCATTCTTCTTATGTACCAACTTGCCTGTACACCTAAGCCTTGGTAAATTTCTCTTTTTTTTTAACTTTTGCTATGACCAACGTAGATCAAAATCTTTTAATAATTAAATCATGAACAAATTTTTTAAACATTGGAATCGTAATAAAAATGAATAATTTTAGGACAGGAGGCAATATAACACATCGAATTTGGCAACCATCGGTAACTGAAAATACAGAATATAATAAATTTCAACATTCTGTATTCAATGTTCCTTCGACCGATGCTCAGAAGATGGAGTCTCCAATTGTCCCTTTGAAGGTGTCGCTGGAACATCAGAATCCGGTAATTTCTGCTTTACTTGAATTAAAATTAGCAAATCCTAGTTAAACGAACACTGTTTTCTCTTTTGAACAAGAAATCATAAAAAATGAAATATAAAATACCATGGAATTTTAAGATAACAAAACTTTGTCGTGAAATATTATAATGAACAAAGTGCAAACATCAGAAAGATATCTGCCAGCTTTAATGAAAAAAATTTCTAAATTAATTTATTTCATCGAAATTAATTGCCGGTTTTCACGTGGTTTCATTTTATTACTTAATTTCAACCAATTCAATCTTCAACAAAAATTTTTCCTTTACATTTTAAAATTTTTGAATACGATAGAACCAAAATGATTATGTTACAAAAAAATGTTTCAAACCGCTTCAGTTTCGTTTGTAACCATGTTAAAATGACTTCCTACCATATTTTTTCTTGCAGCATTTGTTACAGTCAAATTTTTTTCCTTTTCAAACATGTGAAAGAATAAACCACCACCTTATCTTTCCTCTCTAAATGTTTATAATTGATAACACAAAAATTCGGTTCTTGTTTTTCATCTAAAAATTATTTTTTGTTCCCTTTTATCTGTCAACTTAAAACTTAATTACTTATTCTTGGATCTGACGAATCATTGTTAAAAAAAATACAGACTTTAACCAACTCTTACATTTGTATCCTGCAGTACTCTATTTAATACATTAACTTCTATCCGCATGAAAATACATCTTCGAAATGAATTTCAAAGATATAAACATGCTTTTTAATGTATTTTTGAAAAATAAGACACATTTACATTTGCCGTTGCTCTTTTCGATTAAATTTATAAAAAATTTGATTACAACATTGTTTTGTCTCTAATTTAAATTTAAAATTATCATATGTTCTTCATAGAATTTCCAGATTACATTATTTGGCAATTCAATTTTAATTTATGCATAGGTTTTTAATTTTGAAAAATGCAGTTATGTAAAAAGATAGAAGTTTTTCTAGATTTAAAACCATGGAAACTATTAATTCAAATTAAATACTCAGCTACACACTTTCCAAACAAAAACTGATTGGGGTGAAATATTCGCCAAACAAGATTATTCCAGGAATCAATCCCAATCCCTGGTTTTAACGTCGCAGCTCAGCCATTCGGTGATCATAAAGAGGTGAAACATTTACAGTACAATTCACCGATGCCACTTTATTCGCCACAAACAGCTGCCGAACAATACCTTCAACAAACGGGTGGACTATTTGGAACTGAGTATGCTTTGATTTAAAACAGTGAACATTTCTTGATTTTAAAATTATAAAAGATAGCCACTTACATGTATTTTAAAAATTTAATTTATTTGTAAATTAAAACTAAAATTTTACATGCATCTGCAGAGAAGAAAAACGGAATGTCTTAAATCAGCTATGTTCATTACAGACATTATAATATTGACCCATATATCACAATAATTGACCTATATCTTCTGTTACACTATAATAATTGCTGCATACTTCGTCACTATTATTGGATATTGACTTTTGCACGATCAGAAATAAGTATAATTACAATAAAGAAGTGTGCATTTTTAAGTTTAATTTGTTAAAAGCTTTTTTCAACGGTGGTCAGCCATATTGTTCTAATCAAGCAAAAATAGCATTATAATTTAAGTACGTAAAAATATTTCAGTCCAAATTTGGCTAAACAAAAGGAAGTTCCATCGTATTTGCGATCAGAAACACTTCGCCTTATCCAGGAAAGCGAACGGTCGAAAGAAAATGGAAGACACGCGACACCAGTTAGATCAACTAAAATCAATCAAGGTATGTTATTACATTTTCAGTTTCCATAAAATCTTATTAGCTTAGCTCTTAAAATTCTCATCATTCATAATGAGAATTAACTAACACTTATGCTGCAAAGTCTTCAAGTTTCAAATTTCAAACATCTAAAGCATTGCAGGAAATTTAAAGGTTATTATATGTTTGAACTAGTCATTATGATGTTGTAATACAATAATAAACAACTTTATGCTAAATTCTTTCATTTTCAGAAGAAACTCGACCGAATGTGGAAAATATTTCTGAAACACCGATGTGTTTTATTTGTGGACGCAATATTAAGTATGTTATTTGGACAATTCTCATTTTCTAAAGTTTGTAACATTGATTCTAGTGCAGAAAATCTGAGTATGTTCCGATTTGAGTGAAAAATTTTAATTTTAAAAATTCTTTATTGAAAATTTATCGCAGTAGTAACAAAGTTTTGCCAGATTGATGAATTTTGCTTGATCGCATATATTAATCAAGTTATGTATTATTATGTAAGCATATTAAAATTTTTTTTTCAGTTGGTTAGCATATGATAATTGTAGTAATTCAGTGAATTTTTCGACTTTATTCGGAGTTGCTAACACTTCAGTACTAATTTAGAATTGTTAAAATTTACTCTCTTATCCTTAACTGTGTATTTTTGTTAAATGATGGTAGTATTTATAAATGCGGAAGTAAATTACCAACTGAAAATTCATTGAAAAATGAATGTAGTGGATTTAGAATTAAACTAGCTTAAAAGTTTACTGTTTTTAAATGAGAATTATCAACCCAAATGAAATAACATAAGAAATAAAGTCACTCCTATAGATTATATCATTTCATCTCCCTTAATTCATTTGATGTACGGAATGAAACTAATCAAGAAAAATTTTTTTAGATGTATTTGAAGAGCTATAAAAGATTACTCAAATATATGAACTTAATAAAGAGTTGGATTAACTGATAGACATACTTATCCTGCTATTCCATTGTTATCCTTGCGCTAACAATTAATGAGTTTAAAATTTTTTAATAAAAATTAAGAATTATAATAACTTCAATCGTCATTATTTGCAATATATCTTATAAGTGAGAATTTTAGAGGAGTGATGTGTCGAGCATATGATCATACAATGCATAGTGATTGCTTCCAATGTTCGACGTGTGGTAGTTCTCTTAAGAACCAAGGACATCATTTTATCAACGACAAATTTTACTGTGACATCCATGGTCGCCAGCTTAGAGGAGGTAGTAGCGTCGCAAAACGTGATGAGATCCATTGGTCTACCTCGTATGTTGATTTTGTTAGTCACTGATACTGTTAGATTCGATGATAAGCGACCAATTCTAGATTTGGGTTTAAAACTTTAAAGTCCTTTTTCAGGACATCTAGTGAGCCGGTAAGCAATATTAGGAATAGGTTTTGCCCTCTTCTTCTCTTTTTACCTCCTATTATCATTTCTATTTCATCTAAACTTCTCTTCTCCATCATTTATTTGCTACGGGAATATATTACAACAAATTAGGGTCGGAGTTAGCACCTCGCAACAATAGATTCCAAAGAAATTCGGGTACAAAACATCTGGTGATGTACAAAGGATGTCTTTAACCGTAAATAACAAAGACAACAATAGTGGTTGGCAGTTATGATGACAGTGGTGTTGATATTTACTACGGTGATGTGAGAATATTAGAATAAATCTTCGACCGGATTCCAAGCAATTCAATTTTGCTTGATTGGATTGGTTAATAGCATGCAAATATAATAAAAGGGATAGAAAAAAGAAATTTTTCATGGGTATTAGGAATTTTTTGGGTTCTACAACTGTCTTAGATTTTTTTTATTTTTCAGACGAAGGCCCAGAATGGTTCCAACTTCTGACAAAAATACTTTGCTAACTCCATATCAGCCAGAAGTTATGACTCGGGAATCGATTTCAATCAGTCCAACACCATGGAAGACACAAAGTCCCATCAGGTGCTCAGTAGATTTTTCTAATTTTATTTTTGAAGCTATCTTTGCTAAATTTAAATTTTCTGCTCACACAAGATTAATTCTTAATTGAAAGGGTTTTAATTTTATTCGTTGGCAACATATTATTTAGTTTCATACCGTACAAATTTTACATATTTTATCCAAGATTTTGAATAAAATAGTTTGATTCACTCTGCCAGAAAAAAATTGCTTGTTTTGTAGTGGATAAACTAGGTAGTTCAGCCAGTACTTATAAATGTTGTCAATATTATATCACTGACAACATTTTGATTTTCCATCAATTTTGAAATCCATTCGAATTCATTATTATTTATAATGGAATAGTGAGAAAAGACAAAAGCACCGACAATTTGCTATAAGGGTATTTGGAAACTAAAACTAAATTTTCGACTTTTATTTAAAAAAGTCAATATTTGCATTGGTAAAGAGATACTTAGCAGTAGCGTACATATCTGTAATATTCTTCATTATTATTCGGTTTTTAATAATAAATGCAAAAATAAAAGCACAAATAAAATAATAATTATATTTCTGATAAGTTATAAAGGAGATTTTCTCGAATATTTCTGATGTATTATTATTTGAACTGTGAGTTGTAAATATTCACAACTGAAAAATAATAATAACATTTTAGTCCAAGCAATCGAGGTGTGCCACCAGCGGCTACTTTATATGGGCAGGAACTGAATGAATTGAGGAAGGAAATTTACAGTTCGTCGATGAGTTCAGGTAAATTGCATTACTTCAGCTAACGTATACTGAAAAGTTAGTTGGCTGAAAGTAGAAGATTGTTGGATGGTAGTCTTGAAAGTATCAGTGCTAACATCAAAATAAAGTCGAAAAATAAATCGAAAATTATAGGTTTGGTAATTAGGCCATAATTTAGTTCTTAGTATCAAAAAGTTTACATAAAAAGTTAAAGATAGAAATTATCATTCTTTATAAAATAAGCTTGAAAAACTTTATTCTCGTTTCATAGAAAATAGACTGGTACGAGTTGAATCTAATAATTATATAACTGAAGTAACATGCTTCTTTTTTATGTGAATTCGGATTTTGCTTACACAAATGTTTACAACTTAATTCCAATCACATTTATGTCAAAGTTTGTTTCGTAACCTTGTGAAACGTCCTTTTTATGCTAGCGTCATTGTGTATTCACGCAGGTAACGTGTCCGATCAACAATCACACCACTCTTCGCAAATGTTAATAAGCCGTGTCCGATCTTTGCCGCTTGCAATCCGGAAAGTAACTTCACCATGTCGGCTTCCATGTAAACATCACTGGCCTCCAGAATCCCAAAAAATTAAGAAATATTGGCAGTGCAACTATTTGATTGCTGATGCTTCTAAAGACTCCTCTAAAAAATCGGAACAAGATGAATTGCTTCTGTCAGTGTCAAAATTTATCAAGGAAAATGAGAATAAGCGGCGAAAGCCCCCAAGTCCTAAACGATACCTGTTAAGAGGTGAAGAAAAAAGTTGTCATTGGAAGCCTACCCATCATCTGGAAAAGAATGGAATCACTGCAGGTAATTTTAGCATGAGATGCAGATACCATTTGACGCCATGTGATATGTTTTTTCGAAATCCAAATTATTCGGAACATACGGAACGACGAAAGAAATTCTCAAACGAATACAACTGTGATGTGGAAGAGATGCATAAAATAAGTATAGGAAACTTAATTGATAATAGCAATAACTATGAGTGCGATAGTTATTTCTCTCCAAATGATATCAATGAATATCAACAGATGCAACAATATATTCAAAACAAGCCAGACTTGATTACAATCTCTCAGAACACTGATCACAAGACGGGAAATTTAGAAATTCGAAAATATGAAAGGAAGGGATGCGAAAAGGAAGAGCAAAATCTTGATGAAAATGATGTCGTTGTAGCGAACATCTGCAATAGTATGGAAATGAAAAATCTTCCCATAAAAGAGATACTTGATGTTCGAGAGCTGTCTGGTGAAACAGAATCACACAGATATCAAACAGATGTCAAAAATCATTGCGATGAAATTGAAAATATTGGCCTAGCTAGAAGTGAAAAGAAGGAACCAGTTATTGAAATGGATGAAAAGTTTATTACTGATGTCTCTCAAGATATTATTGTGAAAGATCTGTTACACCGCAGCAAAGATAGCAAGAACAAAGGAAATAGATGGAAAACATGTGAAGGGTGGAATGTGCTTGATATTCATAGTGAGAATGAAAAGATAATGAAAGGGATTGGAGAAAAGATCGAGGAGGAACAAAAAAAATCCGAGGGTTTGGATCCCATAGAAGAACGTGATAAACAGATTGCTATTGAAAGTATCACTCGATATCAGCTGGAATTACATGATCCGGGGAAGGAACTCTCACATATACTTGAAAATGCTATCGATTTCCTCAAAAATCTTGACAAGTATGCAAAAATTCATGTTTTAGTGGAATTTTTCTCGAACTCTTATCAAATGAGGCTTTAAAAGAGATTTTATAAATACTGATCCTAGAAATTTTCAATTTTTAATAAATATTCTTTAAAGACTTTATGTTGGATAATCAACAATGTTGCATATTTTACGTTAGTGCTACGATACTCTAGCATGGAAGACAAACTGATGGATGAAAATGGCTTTTGTCATCAGCAACAGAAAAGTACAAAATATCCGGACACAAATAAAATAATAGAAGTAGTGGAAAATCGATCAAACAATTGTCGAAATGTGGCTGGTGATATTTTTACAGTGAAAATCATTTGGGCGTCGCAACGCCATCAAATTTAATCATCGAAGTCCTCTATGAAATAGCATGCGAACTAAGGTGTGTGTTATGCCAATAACTCATGTGTCATCATTCCTCCATCCTCCTTTACACTTTTTTTTCGTGTCTTCATCATTTCAGCTTAATAATTTGATTAGGATATAGACGAGCTGATATCTTACTTTAACTTCAGTGATGATCTAGTGATGCCCGCATTATCACGGAATGAGACCTATATTGGTTATCAGTTCATCATGTCATATTCACAAAATAACATTTTCGGAAGTTGAAATATTGATTTAGAACAAATTAGATATCTCGCAAGTAGTGCTAACACTTGCGACATAATTAATTTGTCATAGATAGAAATAAAATCTTGACATGTTGTTGTGAAATATATGTGCGAATATATGAAGAAATAGATGGGCAGGCAGGTATGTGCTACTTTCTGATTGCTTTACTAATTAAAAACACTAACAGTCATGTGGTGAATGTACTGAAAAGTCTAAATTTCTTAAGGTAATTGATATGAGAAACGCATGTTGTGCAGTGCAGAGTGTCCAATTCTCACACAAGAGGAGTTTGGTTGAAGATTCTGTGAATTTCTTCAAAGAGTCCAATGAGTCCTAATAAAAAATATAAACCTGAATTGTTTTCGTAAAACAATTTGCATCTCTTCCCTTCTTAAACACCTCAAAATTTAAACTATTTCGCAATTATTTTCACTTACTTTCTTCTCATTTTTTTTTACTTCAATGACATGCATTTTTTTGAAACGCTTATCATACCGATGCGAAAAGTTGGCAATAAACTTTCAACCTCAGTTTACATTCAAACTTCAGTTCCTATTCTTAACACATTTAAATATCCACATATGTGTAATCCCACATATACTGACATTCATAACTCACTGCTAGAAACTGTTCGCTTCTCTCAATTAAAATTTTCAACTTTTCGGCTTAAAACTAAACTTCTTTTTTGCTGTTCTGTCTTTTAAAAATCAAAATTCTGGAAATTTGCAGTCAGTAGAAATTCGTATATTAAACCATCAAATGTACGTGAACCACAAAATGACGAACTGCCAAAAAGTCGAGGTGTACTTCATACTCAAAGTAACCGTGTACCGCGTTGCGAAGACTGCAGACAAGAAATAAGGTATTCTCGTTTTCTTCCTTTCCATTTCGAAATAAATATTTGTATAATTAATGTCCAAAAATTAATTATCAAAAAACCGTAGATTTTGTTTATGAATAAGTATTTTGTTCTGTTTTTGTAGATTGGCTTTGTTTATGAATATAAGTATATATTTTTTATTCTATATATAACATATTTACTAAAAGCAATTATATTGAATTACGCAATGTGACGACATTGGGATTATTCATTAGTATATTATGATGATTAAGAGGAAGATGGGAGTTTCACTGGTTAGATCGGCTTTCAAAAATTTGACAATTTGGAATTGGCATTGTTTGCAGGGGTGCATACATCTTAGCGAATGGATTAGCATACTGTCCAGATCATTTTGTGTGCTCCAACAAATCATGTGGTCGCAAATTGTTGGACATTGGTTTTGTAGAAGAAAAAGGACATAAATATTGCGAGCGTTGCTTTGAAACTGAAATTGCTCCGCGCTGTGCTAAATGCAATCAGCCTATAACTGCTGTTAGTTAAAAAAAAAAAAAAAACAAATTCCTTATAAGCATACAGAGTAGGATCGACATCGTCGGAGAACACAGCCAGTACTTTGCTATTTTCTCGATATAGGGAGTCGTTGTATCCACTAAGTGTCGAATAATTGTAAAAGCCATTGCTGCTAACCTGTTCGGTTGATTTCTTTTTACAGGACTGTCTGAATGCGCTTCAGAAACAGTGGCATCCGCACTGCTTTGTTTGCACTCATTGTTGTAATCCATTTGGAAATTCTGCATTTTTCCTCGAACAAGGACAACCATACTGTGAAGCAGGCAAGCTCTTCAGTCCATTCACTGTTTAAGTACTTCAGCTTCTTACACTTTCGTTATCAAGCTGAGTGTCGATTTAAATACTCTCGAACACGGCAATTTGAGATCAATGACTTTGAATTCTAGACTGGAATGCACTATTCACAACTAAATGTGTGTCGTGTCATTACCCAATAGAAGCCGGCGACAGATGGGTGGAAGCACTGGGAGCTGCATTTCATTCAAACTGTTTTAACTGCACGGTAAATTTATCATATTACATAGTTTTATCAAATATGTGCAAATGTTCTAAACTTTAAAAGTAGCGATAATCTGACCTTTGAAACTATGTCCCAAAACTATTTTGAAAACGGCAAGCAAAAAGAATCAAAGATATAGAATGCCCATATTCCTAAGCTGCATCGCACTTTAGTGAACTTAATCTACTCTTACTCAAGTTTAGTTCACTTCAGAGCTGTAACGTGAACTTGGAAGGAGAGAGTTTTTATGCCAAGAATGGAGCTCCATATTGCAAATTACATGCTTAAAAAAATATTATGTGAACAAGTTATTTTTTGTTTCTTGCTACTGCACCAACACGATGTAATATGATGCTATTTTGTAATCTCACTGATTCAAAATTCACTCAAGCTCATTATAAATTTCATACTCTGACAAACAGTCCAGAACTTCTTAATGAATGGAATGAAATATCGGAAGCACAAGGCAATCTAGATAGATGAACAAGTATTTCAAAGATCAAACAAATAGATGAATTTTTGCTCAAATAAGAACCATCATTTAAACTTCTAACCAGACATTCATCGTCTAAGCCTACATTTTTCCACTATCCAATTAAAATGTCCAATGTAAATGAGCATGATCGCCCGCAGCAAACCACCGAAGAGCACCTGAAAAAAGAATAAGCAAAATTGATGGAAAATAATTGATCAGAGAGATAAACAATAAAAAAAATGAAAAAATTATAGATGGATTATCAACATACTTTGATGATTCATAAGATATTTCAGAAAAAATCCAAAATATAAAGTCAAAAAAGTTAAATAACCTGTGCAACAGCTTGCAAAAAACTCTTCTCTGGTCCACCACCTGCTGATAATACTCCAAGTGCCCATCCCTCCAGACCAATGCATGTGTGATAATTACCATGAGAAAGATTATAAATGAGGCATTCAGCAACCGTTTCTGGTTTGAACAATCCTGCGGTACTGCTGATTTCTTTCAGTTCTTCCGGCATTGTCAATATTTCACGCTTAAAAATCACAGTCACAATATAAGTAATTTATTTTCATCTATTTTCAGATTTTTGAATAAATCAGCAACGGTATATAAAAACTACTTTTCAGTTACCTTAATGATATCTCAATCATAGAAGCATTATAGTAATTAGAAAAATCTGAAACCTGGTAGCCTTCTGTATTTGTATTTGGAGGATAGATTACCGATACTTGGACGTTATATGGAAGCAGTTCCATATACAACGCTTCAGCGAAACCACGCATCGCAAATTTTGTTGCTCCGTAAGCAGTATATCCCCAAATTGGACACTGACCCGCCGCAGAATTCACAAAAATGATTTGACCATCTCGTAACTTTTTCATTTTGGATACTACTGCTTTAGTCATATAAACCTGGAAGTAAAGATATCTTGTTAGATACGTTGGCAGTTGAATTTCGCAAATGTTTTTTATAAATATTACTTGAATCTAAAAATTACAACTATAAAGAAAAAAGCAGAAATAAAGAAAAGGGAAGAAACTTGAGACCAAGACGACTGTCTTCCCCTTTCAATCCTCATTACTGGATAAAAGCATACCGCGCTCAAAAAATTCAGACGCATTTGTTCCTCATATACTGATATATCAACCAAATCAAAAGCACCTTGCAGAGCATACCCCGCGTTATTTACCAAAATATTGATATCACCAAGTTCATTTTCTGCTTCTTCTACCACTGCTTTCAACTGAATAAGATCCATAGAAATTTTCAAGGAAATCAAAACACTTTATGGAAGTTTATTAAATATGCTTCAAAAAAATAAATAAATAATACGTTTAATTTTTGTTCTCACTTCTTATTCTATCTTTAGCTTGAGTAACACTCAATTACTTATTACACGATATACCTCACCACACTATAGGATGAAGTGACGTCAACACTATAATATTTTGCAACTGCTCCATTTTTTTTGCTTTTTGCAAGTGCATTCAATTCTTTACACACCAGTTCCAGCTGTTCCACGTTCCGCGCAGCCAAAGAAACAGAACAACCGCGCCGCATTAAGGCCGTGGCGATTGCTTTTCCAATTCCTTTTGATCCACCTATACAGATTTTGTTGTACTTTTTAATTTTAGAAAGTCATATACTATTATTGAAAGAAATAAAAACATTTAAAAACAAAAACAAGTAGTTCTAAAAATTTCGAATAATACAACAATCTACCACAAAACTAATGACTCTTACTGCGATGCTTTAGTTGCAAGGAAGTAAGAACACCTTGAATATTTATTTCAACTTAAAAAATATCTCATTAGCATTAATTCAGCAAATGATTTACCAGTGATGAATGCATGCTTCCCTTCAAATGATAATGGCTTTTTTCGTGGTAATGAAATGTAAACTAAAATTAGGAGCAGCCCATAAATAAAAACTATAGCAAATGTGAGGCACGATACGCAAAAATAAATATCCATTTTACTGCGCTTGAACTTCAGTTAACTGAAAAAAAAATTTAAAATAACTGAATTTGCGCAGTTCAATTTAATTTGGTCTAAATTATTCGTTTAAATTAACATTATTTTATGATTTGAGAGAAACCAAGCAAAATTTTAAACAGATTAGAAATAAAAAAGTGTTTAGCTATTTTAACACTATGACGGTATCAGAACAACTAGGCGCGCTTTCATAAAAATGAAATATCATCTCAAAATCATTTCATGAGCTTGAAGTGAAAGTAAGCAAAAAAAATGTAGTCTAATAGCACACAATACTAAAAAGCCAACCGAATTAAAGTGCAAAGCGATGGGTTTGCCGAAAAAGCGTCCATACAATGAAAGTGCTGCCCAAATGAGATTCGCGTCTGATGCTTGAACAACCACAGACCCTTTTCTTTCAATCTCGTTAAACGAACCTAACGAATAATTCGGCGCAGTCTGACCTAATATTACTCGTACCGCTTCATTGACCAGTATTTCAAAATCATGTGTAGTGAACGCACTCCTCAGTGGCACTCCGAATTCTCTGTAGTTTTCAATGTATATAAACATTCAACAAAATTAGTGGAAACGAATTCAATCTGTTTAATCTAAATCATCAGTTATTCCCTACACTGAATTCACGAAATTTATGAGATGAGAATAAAACTGAATTTTTGGGTTTTTCAATTCGAAGATCTTGCAGCTTATAATGGAAACTCAGAATAAATGCCAATAAGCGCATACACTTTAAACGTCAAGCGCCTCTGACCTATCAGATCCTTTCCTGACATATAACGTGCTCAAACTCTCAGTAATTTTGAAATGGCTTTCGTCGCAAATCCTGAAAAATGCGAATTAAGCATCACATCAAAATTACGCAGTTCAAATTCAATGACTGCACAAAATTAAACTGATCATCTAACCTTCTCCTGTTTCACTTATACCGCTTGCATGATCAATCTATCTATTTCAGGAAAGTAAGATATATCTAAGTACAGTCTTACTGTTGAAAATTGCAATTTTAGAACAAATTTAAAGTCATTTAATTTACGGAAGCAACGAACAAATCATTACATTAACAC